TCTTCTGAAATAAAAATGCCATGGCCCTTTACTCTCTACTTTGTTTCCATGCAAAACCACTGCCATCGTAAATGACATTGTGAACTACAGAAGCAATACAAGGAACATTGCCCATGACTCCCCAGCAGGGAGCACTCAAGAGTAAGAATCAGACACTTGAGTCACTACTAAGTAAAAAATATGTGAATTATACTTTGAAATTACAGCTTGGTTTTTATTGCCACTCTATAGTGTAAAGTGCACTGGACTACACTCTAGGAGACTTTGTCTCTAGTTTGAGTTCTCCCACTTGCCTTCAAATCATCCATGAGGACTGGAATCAACTTCTTCCAAACTCCTGCTGCAGTTTATATTTTGTCCTTCTCCAGTGAATCATGAATATTCTTAATGGCATCTAGAATGGCCAACCTTTGCAGAAGGTTTTCGATTTACTTTGCCCAGATCCATCAGAGGAATTACTATGCCAGTTATAGCCTTACAAAATGTATTACTTAAATAATAAGACTTGAAAGACAAAATTTCTCCTTGATTCATGGACTGCAGAATGAGCGTTGTGTTGTTAGCAGGCATGAAATAACATTAACCTCCTGGTACATTTCCATCAGAACTTTGGGTGACTAGGTGCACTGTCAATAAGCAGTAATATTCTGAAAAGAATCTTTTTTTCTGAGCGATATGTATCAACGGTAGGCTAAAAAATATTCAGTAAATCATGTTGTAAACGCATGTACTGTCATCAGGCTTGTTGTTCCATTGATAGAGCATAGGCAGTATAGGCCTAGCATAATTTTTACAGCCCCCAGGATTTTCAGAGTGGTAAATGAGCATTTGCTTCAACTTAAAGTCACCAGCTGCATTACTTCTAACAAAAGACTCAGTCTGTCCTTTGATACTTTGAAGCCAGGTATTGACTTCTCCTCTCTAGCTATGAAGGTCCCAGATGGCATTTTTCTTCCACTGGAAAGCTGTTTTGCCTACACTGAAAATCTGTTGTTCAGCGTAGCCACCTTCATCAAATTATCTTACTTAGATCTTCTGGATAACTTGCTGCAGCTTCTGCATCAGCACTTGCTGCTTCAAGGTGCACTTTTATGTTGTAGAGATGACTTCTTTCCTTAAACCTCATGAGCCGATGTCTGCTAGTTTCAAACTTCTGCAGTTTCCTCATCTTTCTCAGGCCTTGCAGAATTGAAGATAGTTAGGCCCTTGCTCAGGATTAGGCTTTGGCTCAAGGGAACATTGTGGCAGCTTTGATCTTCTATCCAGACCACTTAAACTTGTTCCATATCAGCAAATAAGGTTATTGTGCTTTACTATCTTTTGCCTGTTCACTGGAGTAGCACTGCGCTTTTAATTTCCTTCAAGAATTTTCCTTTGTATTCATGAATTGGCTAACAGTTTGGCACAAGAGACCTAGCTTTCTTCCTATCTGGGCTTTCAACATGCCTTCCTCACTAAGCTTACTCATTTCTAGCTTTCCATTTAAAATGAGAGACACACAACCCTTCCTTTCATTTGAACATTTAAAGGCCATTGAGGGTTTTTTATTTGTCTAATTTCAACATCATCGTGTCTCGGGGAATAGAGAGGACTAAGGAGAGGGAGCGAAACAGGGGAACGGCCAATCAATGGAGCACTCAGAACACACACGACATTGATCAATTAGGTTCACTGTCTTATGTGATTTGTGCCACCCCAAAACAATCACAAAAGATCATTGATCACAGATAAATATAACAGACATAATAATAATGAAAATATTTGAAATATTGTGAGAATTACCAAAGTATGACACGAAGACACAGAGTGAGCACATGCTGTTAGAAAAATGGTGCTGGCAGATTTACTACATACCAGGTTGCCACAAATCTTCAATCTGCAAAAAAAAGAAAACCAATTTCTGCAAAGTATAATAAAGTGAAGCACAACAAAACAAGGTATGCCTATTCAAAAGGCCTAGATTTTATAGCATATGTGAAAGCAGACGTAAATGCCAGAAAGTTGGAAAAACAAAGAAAAGTAAATTTTCTAGGGATTATATGTTTTGAAAAGAGAGGAATCAAAGATATCATCTGTATCAGCCTAGAAACTGGAGGCCAAAAATAAATAAATAAAATAATATATAATCATATCTCTATCTGTACAAGCATTATGCTAACCAGGCCTACTTTACATGGGCACTATGCCTGCTGTGGACGTCACCTCTATTTTAGAGATATGGTGACTTGATGACTATCACAAGGACATTGGCTAGAATGCAGTGTGAAATAACTGTGGTCTCTGTCTCTGTGTTTGTTTCATAAACTGGGCTAGTTGGGACCATCTAGCCTGAGCATCCACAACCAGAGGAATATCTGGGAAAGGGCAATTGAGGCAGAAGCCCTGAAAGTCTGTCAATTACCCTCTACATGCTCATTATGTATATGGATAGATTACTTCTAGGACTTCCAGCCAGATTGTTCCATTTTAACTCCACCCACTGTTGACACCGGAGTTTTTGGCCCAGAATATAGGAATTCTCCTTCATCGAGCAAGTCAGCACGCAGTTCATGGCAAATAATAAATACAGCCGTTTCCCTTTGTCATTGTAGTTTCTTTGACGCAAGTAGAGCTGGTGACTCAGAATTCTGGGCCCACGTCATGGGACGGTGGCTGCAACAGAAGAAAAATGAACAAGCCCCGAAGATAGGAAAGGTCTGCAAAAGGGCTGATTCAGACAGGGCAGGCCATCTGTCACCAAAGACCTTTCTGACTGTAGGTCTGCTGATAGCAGGTAGAAAGTAAAGGACCAAGAAGGTCACAGGCCCAGGGCTACCCTGGATAAAATAGGTATAGACGTACAGAATTTGCAAAGGCCTATATAATAGGAGTTTTCAGACTAGTCCTCAAGAATTGAAATGGTCAAGGATTCACCTTAGAAGAAAATGTATTTACAGACTAGGGTGGATGGCAAGTTATTGTTAAATAGGTAGAGAGTTTCAGTATGGGATGATGAAAAACTTCTGCTCGTGAATGACAGTGATGGTTGCATTATAATGTGAATATATTTAATGCCACTGAATTTAAATGTACACTTAAAAATAGTTAAAATTGTAAATTTAGTTATGTATATTTTACCACAATAAAAAAAAAGTATAAAAAAATTTTTGGTAGTGAACGGTTGTAAAACAAAAAATTAGAAGGTGGTTGGGCAATGTTATGCCCATCTAATGCCTGTTTTTAAGAGCTTTAAGGCTCCAGGTTCTAGAATGAGAGTACTAGTTTCAAATTAGGGCTTCTAAGCTCCACTTATCATTAGGTCTGTGACATTAGACAAACTATGTAATTGTTCAACGGCTCAGTTTCCTCATCTATAAAATGCCTTAATTATGGTATGTAACTTCTAGAATTGTTGAGAGGGATAAATGAGATAATCCACATAAACTGCTTGGTACAAAATAAGTGCTCAGAAAAGTGAACCCTGCTATTATTATCATTATCGTTATTGTTGACAACTAAATTCACATATGACTGCCTAGCACTAACATGAAAGACTTCAAAAAAGCCCTCAGGAGGAGAGACAGCTAAGAGTACACAGTTAAATCAACAGGGAATTTATTAAATGCCTATTATAATTCAATGCTCTGCTAAGTACAAGGAAAATGAAAACAAATGAAAACTCGCCATAGGCTCCGAAGAAGTTTATGATCTCACCAGGGAGATGAAGTAGAGACATGAAACATTTCAGCAGCGCTGAGTGTATAACAATATTCAAGCCATTCACTGGCACCACTCTTGGGAGAAGAGAAAGCCCTTTGGTGAATAACATGCCGAGGTACTCATGGGCACATGTTTTGGTGTCGTCACTGTGAGACTCAAATCCTACCTCCCCTGCCACCCCCGCAAGTAACTTAATCTCTCTCAACCTCAGTTTCATCAACACAACAGAGATAATATCTGTAACACCTCAGAGGGCTGTTTTGAGGCTTAAAAAAGATTAACGCATGTAAAGAATTTAGAACAGAACTTGGGACAGATTAAGCCTTCAGGAAAAATCATTTTATTTAATCAATAATCCAACATGGTGAGCACTGACTATTCTTATGTAAGAAAATCAGGGCTCATAAAGGTTAAGTAACGTATGCAGTTTCTAGCTAGTACATAGCAGAGCCAGGAATCCAACACCCATCATGGGACTCCTAATCCAGTGTTCTTTCTACCATACCCAAGCCACCTATGTGCTGTTAGTGTCAAATGAGTACTAGGTGTAATTTCTATGGCAGTTGAGAAGCCGGTTAAAGCAATGTCAGTAGAGCAGTAGAAAAAAACTACATGAATGAAGTGAAACAGAAAAAAAGGTAGGATATTATTGAAAACAATACGTTATTGAAGACTTCCCTGCCATACACTATCTCATTTAATCTCTATAAAACCCTTTGAGATATGTTATTAACCTCATTTTACAGATGAGAAAACTGAAGCTTGGAGTGGTTAAAAAAAAAAAGACTTATAGAATGTGACAAGGTTAGTAAGAGGTGAAGTTGGGATTTGAACCCAGTTCTATCTGATTTCAAAATCATTGTCCTTAACCAAAAAGGGGAGCCCTCAATAGGAAGTAAAAATATAAGATGGACAGAGACAGGGGATGGATGGCCTAGAAATGAGAGGGGTTTTTTTGTTTTGTTTTGTTTAAACAAGAAGACTTTCACTATCACATTCCCTTTATCCCCACAAGTTTGAACAGTAATGTTCCTCCTTTTAGATCCTTTTTTTCCCTAAGAATTCAATTTTCATTTCTGTGACTAACTCCCGCCAGATAATTGATATCCAAGGGGAGGCAGGAAGAGTTCATTTATCTCCTCAAAGGAAATGGCTTAATCCTAAATCATAATGGAACCTGACTCACTGCAGAATCAATAGCAGTGATGGCCAAGGCCATAATGGTCTCATTGAAGGCCAGAATCCCTGACGTTACCTCTTAACAACACACTAAGATAAAAGTTCGGGGAAGGTTACTAAGAGCCACTCTGAGAATATGTTTAAATAAAAGGCTCTATGGGTCTATGAATTCATCTTTATGGACATCTTTAAAGGCCTTTAAAAGCCTTTGAGGGAAGGGAACTGGCTTTTGAATATCTTGGATTTTAATTAAATTGAATGACCTAAAAATAATTTATTGTAGCATACAGAAGAGACATTTATTTAAATGGAAATAATTACAGATTTCTATGTTTTGTAGGGACAAGTTATTAACCACTTATCTGTGAGTCCTTCAAAGAACAATCTTTCATCTGACCCAGCTGTCTTAAAGACTGATCTCTAAACACAGAAGAGTAGGAAGCCAAGCCCAGTCTTCACATCCATGAGCCTGAGAAATAAGACGAGGCTCCCTCCAGGAGCTATTGGGCATTGGCCTCAGAAGTAGCCTACATTCTTCATGAGAATTCATAAGGGAGTACAGAGCACCAGATTCTGCTTTTATTTTTGCCCGCCTTTGGTTCCATTCTCCTGCAATGTATAGTCCCAGAGAAAAACCCAAATCTCCAGAAGTCCTGCACCTTCCAAAAGCTTGATTCATAGGTGCCAAAAAACAGCCAGGGTGGAATCTTGAGTCTTGTTGAAAAACAATGAGGATAGATATGAATTGGTGTTGCCTTCTGAGCATATGCAAGCTGACAAATTTCTTCTCAACAATCCCAGTGTTTTAAGTATCATCAGATAACCAGCCCTTTCCCTGCTGGTGTATAAAACACTGTTCCCTGTAGAGAAGACAAATGACCCAGATGCAATTACTAGTGCTGATTAAAGTCAAAGTTTCCATTGCCCACTTGTGAATACGTATTATGGTTGTCTCCAAAGCAATAAAATAGCATTTCTACCTCTGTTTCTTAATTGTGTCTTCTGACCATTACATTAGAATAATCGACTTCCTAATAAAGACACAAGTCCTAAGGATTTGAATTGCAGATCCAGAGCTTTCTAATTCCATTTAAGGTGATAACCACAGGCCTTTAAGTCTATAGAACCAGGCAAGAGCAAGCTAGGTTCTAGGTTCTGGATCTAGACTTCCTTGGGATGGGACTTACAATCTAATCAGTTCCACATTATGACCACAAATCAAATCATTGTAAGTTAAATGAAACCCCTTTCTCTTAGCAATGTGAACTTATGTTATATGCTATATAAATTGAGTTTCTGTTCATGAAAACTTGAATATACTTCTTTATATATATTTAGCAAGCACATAAAGCTAAATAATATAAAACTACAATACAATTACTACTTTTAGAGGATTTTTCTGCATAGGATGAATGGGCTTAGACATATCTAAATGTAATCTTAATGATGTTTTGACTAAACATGGTTTCTTCTCTTGGTTAATAGCCCTTAGACAAACATGAACATTCTTCATATGTCTAAGAACCTTCTAACTGTGCTCAAAACTGTATCATCTTAAATTTTGTAAAGAATAACCACAACCTACTGTATCCTGAACCTAATCTGTACTTACTAAACAGCTCCCAAATAACAAACCACACTTTATTAGACATGAAATGTGTATAACAGAGTGTTGGGATGTATGGATAGTTAGTCTCTAAGACCCAAACAAACACTGACCAATTAGCTTAAGAATATGAATTAGGGCTTCAGAATTGTCCTAATCAATGTCATCAACATTCAAAAATATATGTGGAATATATATATAACATATATATGTATATTGGATGTATGTATACCATGGAACCCAAATGAGAAACAAAACTATTTGTCAGTACAACTCATTTTTTGTAATGATTTGGATCCTAGATACCTTGAAAAAAAAAAAACCTTTTCAAAATTAACATGTTTTGTTTAAAATGTGTTTTTAAATCATGCCAAGAAAAAAATTGATAAAATCAGGAATACTAGTCTGAGAGTTTGTTCACTCATTGTATGCCTATTATATGCCAAGAATTGCACCATATGCTGAGGATATAAGACAAAATGTGCCATCCCTATTTTTGAAGAGTCCCAAGACTAGACTCTCTCTCTCTCTCTCTCTCTCTCTCTTTCTCTCTCTCTCTCTCTCTCTCTCTCTCTCTCTCTCTTTCTCTGCATAGGCTCTAAATGCTAACACATAGGTATAAATGAGCTGTTCATTGGGAGCGTGAAGAAAGGAGGAATAGGAGCACATGAACTACAGTGTGTTAGGAAGACATCATGGACTAGTCTAGAGTCATCAAAGTATTGAAGTCCCCTGGTGATAAGTGTTTGAGGTGAAGAGACAATATCTAAGATGAAATAAAACAGGCCGTGAAAGTGTAGGCCAAGGGCACAAGAGCTTTCTCATACAAATCTGGATTTATAGTTTCTCTTAAAGAGGTGAAAGCTCTAACAAGGCCAGGTCCATATTTCCAAATGATAACACCTGGCAAGAGCTAAGGAGCAACTGGCACTTTTAGATGCTATGAGAACTCTCCAGTTCACCTCCATTCTCAGAAGCCAAAATTAATATTACTGACCTGGCCCTGCAGACATTTGAGTTTATGATCCCTGGTATATTCTTATAGACTTAAATCCAGAGTTCTAGCAAGCACTGCAGATGCTTAATGTTCTTATTCTTTAGAGAAAAGATTTATTTTTATTACTTTGGGATAAACTCCATTGCCTTTTTGAAATGTTTTTGTCCTTTGAATTTTAGCCAGAAGTTGCAATGCTGACACTCCTCATTTGTATTAGTGAGCTACCTTGTTCCATCAATTTTACTTTGAGCATACTGTAGAAAGTGGATTTGAGAATCTCTAGACTCTAAATTCTAATTCCTAAAAATAAATCCATAACTTTCTGTTCTACCTCTTCTAGTATAATCAAGAAGGAAAGTTAGCATTGTCTTATTAAAGATGTTGAAGAATAGCTACTTAGAAATGATAATAAACACTTGATGTGTCTAGTTTATCACCAAAGCAAGACATCTCATGGCATTCAGTAATTAATGGCATGACCTATACTTACTGGGAAAATTAATGGTGTACATATTTCAAGTAAGATCCATTTAGTAATTGAAAAATGTTTTAGTTCTACACCATTATCCTCAAAAAGAGGTAAGAAAAATAAGAATCACATAGCTAAGTGTGGAGGCTGTTAGAGTCATTGTCATGACATTAATGACCCTGCCTATGTGAATTGAAGCTCTGAATGCCTTTAGGGTTAAGTAAAGTGAGATAATTGGGGAAAAAAAAAAAAAACCTGTAGGTAGAAGATTTCAGGATTAAGAACTGCAGTATCTCTATCATTTGTTTTTCTACTTCCATTTTCAAAAAATAAAACAAAACAAAAATCTTTGCAAATTCTAGCTTAAAGGTCAAGACATTTTGCTTAGTTCTCCTCATTTAGGGATTTACCCACCTCGCTGTGGTGTGCTGTAAGATCAGAAGCAAACATATGTAATCAAGTAATTCCTATGTAGAAATACTTATGGCCAATTAAAAAAAAAAGTCAAAATACAAGAGGATTTGAAATCCTTGAATGTGCCCATATGAAGCCATTGCAAAATGGCAATGTTTGCCCTTTGAGATAATTCCTGCAGCATTTTGGTACTTGACCCAGACACATCTCCTACACGTAAGTTTCTCTCTCCATCTCCATTCAGTGTCATTACTGTTCAACAAACAGAACTTGGAACTTCACTCAAGCATTATAATGACCTCAAGTTGGGTAGCAAGAGCCTGGGGGCTTTTTCTGAGTCATATGGAAACTGGCACAGGGTGGCAGTCAGAACCTTACAGAATCATCAAGTGTGCGATGAAGGCAACACCAAACAGAGAAATTCTGACTATTTTCCAAAGTAGTGGCCTTTTATTTTCTCCACTACAGAAGTTCGTTTTGTAACTATATTGCCTATCAATTACAGGGGTCACTTAAACTCTAAAGAGAAAGAAAGACCTACCTTGCTAAGTAATCCCTAGGCTTCAGAGCTTTGAACACACTTCAAATGACAACATCTCACACCAAGATCACCCTCACTTTTATTGGAAGCAGAGGACTGACCTTCCAAGGAGAACAACTACATGACTCCAAGGCATCTCGGAGGGTCTTCCAAGTGGCTAATTTCTCCCTTCTCTCCTTCATCTGGAATATGAAGAAACTGATCAGAAAACTCATACCACTCTAAAAAAAAAAAAAAAACTCAATACCACACTAAAAAACTCATACCACTCATTTTTACATTTTAACCTGTAAATTAGAAGGGATAAAATAAAATGTAACCTTATTTACATTTTAACCTGTAAATAAGAAGGTTACAGAGGGAAAAGAGATCTAACACATTCCCAGAACCAAAAGGATGGGACCATTTAGTATGGTAGGTAAGTGGTTCCCTTAGCAACCAGAAGGCTGGGAACAAGCAATAATGTATGTAGCCGTCAACAATCATAAACCTAAGACACTCCACAACTACTCAGTCACTAAGGAGTAAGTGTAGTACATTGGAAAGACTACAAGCTTTAGAGTCTGAAAGACCAAATTTAAATCCTGGCTCTGTTGCATATGGCTTTGTGCTTTGAGTTATTTTACTTATTTGAATCTCGGATTTCTCATCTCTACATTCCTTTTAATAATATCTGCCTTTCAGGATTGTTATAAGGGTTGATTAAATGAGATAATATACCTAAAAATGCCAGGCACATGAGTTGCCTAATGGACGGTAATGATTATCATGATGATTTGTATTGTTAATGAGGAAATAAGTGAACTATCAGAGTTCCCCTGCCCTTTCTTTGCTGCCCCAATAGAATTGGCCCCAATAGAATTGGCCCTATAGTTAAAATATTCCCGTTGGACTTCCTTTTCCAGCAAAATCAAGCTTTGTCATATCCTATGACTGAGTCAGGAACAAAAGAGGTAAATAAAAGAGTCAGAACAAGAAGTTTGGGGCAATCTAAAAAGTCTACATATCCAATTAGGTGAGGCAAGTACCCGGAACATGGGCCTAACAGTATGTGTAATACGATGGAATTTTTCTCTAGAAGAAACGTCATTTATCCTGAAATATAAAATGAGTTAGGCTTTAGACCAAGGAAAGGAAAGACTCTTAGAACCAAAACTCAGAGATTAGGGGAGAGGCTGGTTCCAGGCAGTGCAAGAGGCTGCTGAAAACAACTTAGGAATCTGAAACTCATGTCTGGTGGGAAGTATGTATGGGATGTGTACATGTGCGTGTGTAAGAAATAGCAATCAGGCCCACGTTGGCTGAAGCTAACTCTTGGAGAACAGGACTTCCTCTTCCAGCTCTTCACCCAGAGTTGGCAGCCACAGCCTCAGCTTCTCAAAGCATCTTTGCTCGGCAGATAAGATGACCTCAGGCTTCCAAAAGTCTACATTAGTGGTGGCATGTCACCTACTAAGCAACAGGTAACTGCATCCTTCCTGCCAGCAGACAAGGACAACACCAGCATGCCCGGCTGCCAGTGTTTCCACAGTGTCATCGTGTGGCAGTGACAACAACGCAGGACTCGACAATTGACTAAGTAGATTTCTGTTTTTCTTTCCTTGACCTGAATCTTTGGATTGAGTAAGACCCTGAGATTTTTGTTATCATGGGACCCAAATACCCACAAGGTAAAAGAAACTTTTCACAACAGGCGAGAAGGAAACTCAGTTAGTTAATTAGAACAAAAGAAGGAAATGGGACTGCATGCACTTCACACTGCAGAGGTGATGAGCAGATCACAGTGCTGGAGAACAATGCCTGGAAAGCCTGGTGACAGAGGACAGGCCCTGCTTGTCACGGGCATTGGGACAGTGCAGTGAACAGTCATAGGAGCACTATGCCAGTCAGCAGAGGAGGATGACACAGAAAGCCTAAGGACAGACCAGATAAAGTGACCTTGGCAGGCAGACCAGCAGTCAGCCTCAGAGAACGCTGGCAGGAAGTGATAGCCCTGCTTCATATGACCGAGGCTCAAGAAGAGACTTTACTGTTGTGTGGGTAGAAGGCAACAATGACGATGGAAAATGAGCCCGAGTCCTTAAGGGCTGGGGGCAGGTTAAGCTATAGCAATAAGGATCTCAAACACACAGTCTGAAGCAGGAATACATTCATTAGCATGATGCCAGATTTGGTCTCAGGAGTGAGCAATAAGATGCATTCATTCATTTACTCAGCAAATATACATCAATTACTGCAATATTCCAGGTACTATTCTAGGCATTAGGGATATAGCAGCAAACAAAAATCCCTGCTCCCAAGGAGTTTGCATTCTGTCAGGGGAGATAGACAATAAATTAATAATAAAATCAATAGAAGATGTTGATTAATGCAATGGGGAATTATGAAGCAGGGAAGAGAGTCAGGACATGATGGGGTAAAGGGGTGGATGTTAAGTAGGATGGCCAGGGAAAGCCTTTCTAAGAAGGTGCCATGTGAGCAAAGACACTAAGGAGGGGTGGAAGGGAGCCATGTGGCCATGTGGGGACAGAGGGAACAAGAGCACAGAGGTGAGAGCAAGTGCATACGCCTGCATGACTGCAACAAAGCCAGGTGGCTGGAGTAGAACGAATGTAGGAGTGACAAGTAGGAGACGAGGCCGAGAGATGTGGAGTCGAATTGTTTGGGGCCTGGAGGCCATGTTAAGGGATTCGTTCTGAGTGGCCATTGGAGGGCTTTGGACAGAGACTGGAGACAAGACTGTTGAGCACAGGGTGGACAGGCTAGAAGGCTGTAAAAGCAACATAGGCAAGAAGTGATGGTGACTAGAACCAGCACGTTCACCACGATGGTGATGAGAAGTGGCTGGATTTGGGATGTATTTTGAAGATCGAGCTGACACAGTTTCCTGAAAGATTGGTTATGGGGTAAGAGAGAAAGAGAGGAGACACACGCACGGCCCCACGGTTTTGGCCTGAGACACTACCTGAATCTCAAGCAGGTCAGATGAGGCTACGCAGCAACATAGTATGGTTCTGAGTTCCTTGAGTCGCTTAAACCTCTCTGAAACCCGCCAAGATTCCCAGTGCCTACCAGCAGGTGGTTGAGTTTGGTCACAAGCTGTGAGAGTGAGAAGTAGAAGAAAAGTCAAGTCATCACAAAGCCTCTATTTCAAATCCTGTAAGGCCAATGTGCTCTGTCCCCTCCATCACAGCTGCTACATAGGGTGGCACCATTGTCTTCTGAGACTAGCAGCACATATGAAGTTAGGTGTTCTGCTTACCCTTTCCCTGTCACCAGACAAGTAAATGAATTCTAAACAGTATCAAAACATGCTTTGCAAGAGGGCATGAACATAAGACAAGAGCAACCTTCCATATTTATTTTCTCCAATGGGCCATCATTCAGCAATCTTAAGCTGTCACTAAACTGATCCCTTTCATGTCAAATAATGTTTTGCTCACCTTCAGATGTACTTAAATAACTGATGAATTCGACTTAACACAGGTGTTTGTGTAAGGCCCACTCAGAACCTTTGTCCTATATCTCATTCAACAGGCAAGCCCTTCTGAGAGCATCTGTCTTGCGGGGCTTTCCCCCATTCTCAGCCCCACTCCTCCCTCCCACCCTCTCAACCTTCTCTAAAGTGGAATAACCAACACAACCCGCATGTCTGCTACAAATTTAGCCTCTTTTGCAAGGTCCCATTGCTTGCTTCTCCTTTCATGCTTTTTAAGACCCATTACAATCTTCATTCCTTTTTGTCCACTGATATTTCCCTTAGTGGATGCCCTTTTCAAAAGAGCCCAATAGCATAACTCCTGCTTGGTGGCATTGTAGGTGACACCCCACCAGTTTTCAGCATAGAGGAGCTCTCTTAAAAATCTTTTCTTCCATTATCCCACAGATAAATGTATACACACACACGACATATATCCTTCGTGTCTGTTACCTTGTGCAACCAGAGGTCTGACTTACCAATTCAGTTTGACAGCTATGTTATAGCCACAATTCCCTCATAGAAGTGGTCACTTCTGAGAAATTTAAGAGTTGCCTTTACTGTGCTTTTGCAGATGCTGAAAAGGTGAATCAATCCATGAAGATGTTTTGCTCTTCAGCTCTCTGGGGACATTCTTGAAAATATATTGGTGTTCTCTGAGCTTTGGGTATGCTAAATAGTCACCTTGTTATCTCTAGAAGTGTATTTTTAATGAAATGCTGACATTTTAGCATCTTCTTGCATAACTACATTCTAGGGTATCTGTCAATAGTGACAGCTACTCAAGAAAGCATGAAAAATAATCCACTTGTTATCAATCCTGTCTTGAGTTTTCCTACAATTGCTAAACCCTTGAAACTAATTCTAGTTGGCAATGGAAAAATCAATAAAAATAACAAGAGACGGTTTAATCTCTTTAGGTATGCTATAACTCACGTCACTGCACACGTATCCATTTCCCTACAAACACACTTGGAGATGTTTTAAGTTCCAGAAAGAAATGCAAAGCATGACAAAAACAATATCAGTGTGCAGTAATTCCTCTGGTGAAAAACAAAATGTCCTTTGGGGGCATATGTGCCAGTCATATCTGTGTGGGAAACTAAAATTTGGGCGAGTTTTCCCATTAAATTGTGCCCACGGCAACCATATCTGTCACAGATGATGAAAGAAGCAAACACTGAGTCAGGCTGAGTTTTGAAGCTGGGTCCCTAACACTGTTTCCATGTCAGTAATCTTGCAGCAGTGATATTTGAAAGGCGTCAGATTTCACATGACTTTCTTCTCCACTCTAACAAAATGTGCCTCCCTGCTGTAACAACCCAGTAACTGAAGGCTTTGGTACAGTTACCAGTCATGGGTTCTGGAAAATTCAGCAGCCACTGTTCCTTTTAGATGTAATACATATTTTTTTTCTGGTGTCACCAGGTTTGATATGCAGTGAAATATTTTAAATTTACATTTTTTTCATGACTTTCAGATGTTGCTATTGGCCTAGAAGGCTTTAGAAATGAGAGCCTAAAGACAAGTGGATAAGCCAAACACAAAAGGACAAATATTGTATAATTTCACTTATATGTAGTAACCTAGAATAGGCAAATTCATAAAGATAGATGGTAGCATAGAGGTTACCAGGGGGCTGGGTTATACAGAGTTTCTGTTTGGAATGATGGAAAATTTTGGAGATAGTGGTGATGGTTGCACAACATTGTGGATGTAATTAACGCTGCTGGATTTTACACTTAAAAAATGATTAAAATGGTAAGTTTTATGCTATATATAGTTACTGCAATTTAAAAAAGAAAAGTTAAAAAAAAAAAAGATAGCCTAAAGAAACTGAGGTGGAATTTTCCTCTCCGCCTCAATAAACAAAGGTTTCTCTCCAGCCCCCAAAACTAAATTAGTAAAGGGTTTGTATCATTGTACAGAAAAGACTCCTATCTCCATGCCAGCAAATGATGGAGGCATCTGTGCTCCTCCTAATAGGTTAGAAGAAAAGATGGTTCAGAAATTTCCTCAGGATACAAAATACGTATATACATAAATAAATTATTTAGTACCACAGGCTTATAATAGAAAATATCAGTAGTTTGGTCCACTCATCCCCATCTGTGATCTCTCTCCCTGGAGGGAACTGCTTTTAAATGAGTCTTCTTATGGTTATCTACAAATCTCTAAATAGTAAGATTAAATCGCTGTTTCATGCTGTATCATCTTTACAGATTACTTGTAACTTCCTGCTGTAAGAGATGATAGCTCATTTGTACCACCTCCCACGGCCTCTACCCTCTGCCTCCCAATATAGTTGCATCACTGTTCTCAGTTCCTCCCACTAATTGCTTCTACAACTTCAGACTTAAACCTCCATTTCTTATTCAAATGGACCATTTCTCTTGGCTCCCCATTTTGGAGCTGAGGATATTAGTGATTCTCTCTTCCCTTCGCCTTCTACTCTCTCTTTTTTGTTTTTTATTTCAGAATATTACTGGGGTACAAATGTTTTGGTTACATGGATTGCTTCTGTGCTTCTTGAGTCCAAGATACAAGTGTGCTCATCACCCAGATAGCGTACATTGTAACCGTTAGGTATGATTTCACCCACTCCCTCCTTCCCCCACCACCTGCATGATGTCTGCTGAGTTTTACTTCCATCTGTGCACATGAGTGCTGATCAGTTAGTTTCAATTTAATAGTGAGTAAATGTGGTGTCTCTTTTTCAACTCTTGTGATACTTCACTTAAGAGAATGGTCTCCAGTTCCATCCAGATAATTGCAAAGGTATTAATTCATTTTTTTATGGTTGAGTAGCACTCCATAGTATACATATACCACATTTTATTAATCCACTCATGAATTGAAGGGCACTTGGGATGATTCTACATCCCTGTGATTGTGAAATGTGCTACAATAAACATTCCAGTGCAGGTGTCTTTGTATAAGATGACTTTTTTCCCTTTGTATAAACACCCAGTAGTGTGATTGCTGGATCAAATGGTAGGTCTACTTTCAGTTCTTTGAGGAATCTCCATAGTATTTTCCATAGAGGTTGTATTAGTGTGCAGTCCCACTAACAGTGTATAAGTGTTCTTTCTCTCTGCTCCCAGCCAGCATCGATTGCATGGGGACTTTTTGATAAAAGCCATTCTCATTGGGGTTAGGTAATATCTCATTGTGGTTTTGATTTGCATTTTCCTGCTGATTAGTGACAATAAGCATTCCTTTCATATGTGTATTGACCATTAGTCTATCTTCTTTTGATAAGCTCCTGTTCATGACTTTTGCCCTTTTTAACGGGGTGGTTTGATTTTTTTTTTTCCCTGATTTGCTTGAGTTCTTTGTGGATTCTGATTATTAGCCCTTTATTGGATGTATATAGCATGAAAATATTTTCTCCAATTCTGTAGGTGGTCTATTCTGTCTGTTAGTTGTTTGCTTGACTATACAGAAGTTTTTTCAATTTAATCCAGCCACATTTATTAATTTTTGTTGTTACTATGATTGCCTTTGGGGTCTTCATATATTCTTTGCCTAGGCCAATATCTAGAAGAGTTTTTCCAGCATTTTCTTCTAGAACTCTTATGGTTTCATGTCTTAGGTTTAAGTCTGTTATCCATTTTGAATTAATTTTTGTGAGTAGTGAGAGATATGGATCCTGTTTCAATCTTCTACATGTGGCTATCCAATTTTCCCAGCACCATTTACCGAATAGGGATTCTTTTCCCCAGGGTACATTGTTGATGGTTTTGTCAAAGATCAGACGGCATATGTGGAGCGTTTTATACTTAGGTTCTCTGTTCTGTTCTATTGCTCTATATCTCTAGTTTTGTGCCAATACTATGCTGAGTTTTTCTGTTGGAGTTGATTTCTATTTTTATTTCACTGTGGTCTGAGAAGATACATGGTATAATATATATTTTTTTTGAATTTGTGGAGACGTATTTTGTGGCAAAGATGTGATCAATCTTAAAGAACATTCCATGTACTGATGAGAATAACGTATATTCAGTAGTTTTGGGGTAAAATGTTCTGTAAATATCTGTTAGGCCCATTTGCTCCAGAGTCTCATCTAAGTCCAGTGTTTCTCTGTTTATTTTCTGCTTGGAGGATTGGCCTAGTTCTATCAGTGGGCTGTAGAAGTCACTGACTATTACAGTGCTGCTGTTTATCATTTTGTCTAGATCTAACAGGGTTTGCTTTATGAATCTGGGTGTACCTGTGCTAGGTGCATAAATATTTAAGATTGTTACGTCTTCTTGTTGAATTGCTCTGTTTACCACTATGTAATGACTACCTTTGTCTTTCTTTACTTTTGTTGATTTGAAGTCTGTGTTATCTGATATGAGAATGGCTACACCAGCTTTCTTTTGGTTTCCATTTGCATGGAATATATTTTATCATCCCTTCACCCTGAGTCTAAATGAGTCCTTGTGAGTTAGATGTGTTCCCTGAAACAGCAAATACTTGGCTTGAAATCTTTTATCTATTCTGCCAGCCTATGTCTCTGGAGAGGGATATTCAACCCATTCATGTTTATTGAAAGATTTGATAAGTGGCATGCATTTCTGTTCATCCTGTCGGATAAAACCTTACTGCTTTTGACTTCTTGAGCCATTATTTTATATGGGCTCTGAGCTTTAGCTTTTAGATGATTTTACACTGGCAGGTGTCTATTGTGTTGATACATGTATAATGCAGATCTGAGTACTTCCTGCAGGGCAGATCTGGTCTTGAGAAATTCCTTCAGTGTTTGCTTCTCTGAAAACATCTTTATTTATCCCTCATCTAAGAAACTTAGTTTTGCAGGATACAAAATTCTAGGCTGGCTGTTATTCTGTTTAAGAAGACTGAGAATGGGGCCCTAATCCCATCTGGCTTATAAGATCTCAGTTAAGAAGCCTGTGGTTAGTCTGATGGATTTTCCTTTATAATTTACCTGATGTTTTCACCTCACAGCTCACAGGAGTTCCTTCTTTGTGTTGACTTTGTCCAGTCTGATGACTATGTGTCATGTTGATTGCCTCATGGCAATAAATCCCCCAGGTGTTCATTGACCTTCTTGTATCTTGATATCTAAATCTCTAGGAAGACCAGAGAAGTTTTCCTCAATTATTCCCTCAAATAGGTTTTCCAACTCTTGTGTGTTTTCCTCTTCACCCTCAAGGATGCCTAAATTTCTTATGTGTGGCCTTTTTACATAATCCTATACTTCTCGTGGGCTTTGTTCATTCCTCTTATTTCTCTGTTCTTTATCTTTGACTGACTTGGTTATTTCAAAGGTGTTGTCTTCAAGCTCTGTTATTCTTTCTTCTGCCTGGTCTAGTCTAGTCTATTCTTTAAACTTTCCACTGTGTTTTATATCTCCTTAAATGAATTTTTTATTTCCAGAAGTTCTAGTTGGGTTTTTTTTAATAATTCAATTTCGTTAGTGAATTTTCATTCATTTTCTGTATTTTTGGAGGGAGTTTCTTTGTATTGTTTTTCCATTTTATCTTCTATTTCATTGAGCTTCCTTATAATTCATATTTGGAATTCTTTATCTGTTATTTCAGTATTTTTGTTTTGGTGTTTTGGTTGGTATCCATTGGTAAGGAGCTATTGTTTCCTATTGGGGTGTCCTTTTGCTCTGATTTTTCATATTTGTGGAGTTCTTTCACTAATTCCTTCTCATCTGGCCTCTCAATCGAGTCCTGGAGGTATGAGGCTTGGCTTGGGACCCTGCCCCCAGGTCCCTGATCATGCCAGGGAGAAGAGTGCTAGTCCCCAGTTTTATAGGTGGTGTTCAAGCAGATTTGACGATCCTCTTGGGTTGCCTCTGACCTGCTATCTTCACCTCTTCCCAGCAGTGTGAATTGTGTTGGGTGTCTCACCTTAATCTCTGAGATGGCAGGTGGTATTTGTGAGTACAAATCAATCACAGCCTGTTTGCTTGAGTTGGGAGATGCTATAATGAGCTATAGAGTTGTTCTCCCTGTCATTGGTGTTGTTTGTGTGAAAGAGACAGCTGCCAAGATGTTCTTTTGTGCCAATGGTAGGCTCTAGTCCACCAAATGGAGTACTTGAGTGCCCCAAGCTTTAGTGGGACCCTGTAGCTCCCAGGGGTTGCTTGACCTCTACCACCACTAAGCTCAGGGAGGAGCAAGGCAGTTTGTGGCTAGGTTGCAGGAGCCTGAAAGGCTTTGCAAAGCCTTGGCAGCTCAGAAGTTTCTCTTCCAGCCACTACAAGGAGCTACTGGTAAGGGGCCAGGACAGGCTCTCCAAACTGGGAAAGCTGTTCACAGGGAGGATCCTAAACCCTTGAGTGCTAAGGCTTGGGCTGGGATCTTTCTGCCCTTATCCAGTAGTGCAGTTTTTCTTTGGGACGGAGTGGGCACTGTGTCAAATTGCTGCTCTTTGGACCCCAATAGCACACTCCTGTCAGATCAGTCCATGTGTCTCCCTCATAACCTGAGCCCAGCTCTCAAACCTCCCCCTAGTCTGTGTGTCTGACCCACTAGCATGTGTCTCCATGAAACTCCAGTGGGCATGGAACTTCCAGATTGTGCACCCCTGTTCCACTGCAAGTCCTCGAAGGAAGATGTGTGGGCCCCTCTATCTGTGGGGACCTCAGCCAAGAGCACATGTCCACTGGAGACAAGTGACCACTTGCGAACTTCTCAGTGCAAACTTCTCTCCCTGTTGTAATGAGTGAGAAGAGAGGCTGGAGCACCTGATCAGCCAGTGCACCTGAGTGTTAGGTGTTTGGTTGCCATGGAGCCAGGGGCTAGGCTACTCCTCTCCTAATGGCATACTCTTATCCAATAAGGTATTTCTCTAGTGGGGGGGGTGGGGGGGTGCAGTCCCAGATCTCCATTCCTCAGCATCCCACTACACTCTCCCATTGGATGTGTCCATGTGGGCTTCCTTGCCACTCAAGTCCAACTCCCAGACTTTTCCCCTGTGTCTCCCTTCACTCCTCTCATTTCTGGGGTCACTGGGACCAGCTTGCTTATCAGA